TTTTGATTGTGCTACCTATTACTAAAAAAAAATCCCATATGTTGCACACTTAACTAATGACACTGTATATATTTGAAATGAGAAAAATAAGGGCGTTTAAGAAATGGATTTAAATATAGGTTATTCCATTTAAAAAAATTACTTTTGTCGTCACAGCGCTTTAACGAAAAATCCAATTAAATTTCATAAAACGTTTTCAAATTCCTGAAAACAAAATACCCTAAATAACTATCTTGATTTTTTCAAAAAAAAAAAATTCTGCGAAAAGGTAGGTTCACTTTATAATGGATCACATTGTACTACAAGGATGCTATTTCTAGTACAATTGTACTAGATCTAGCACAATCACGTTTCACCTAGTACGCTAGTACCTCTCTCATAAATCTAGTACAATTTGGAATACAAGTCGAGTGTCGCTCTTCGCTCTATACCGTACCCGAATTCTGCACTCCACTCTCTACTTGTGGGTAGGGTTTCACGTTCCGGTCCTATTACGGTGCGGCTAAAGCCAAACAAGAAACTGGCGTTGCGAATATGAGGCAATTTTTGGCGAGAAGATTCAAGCATAATCTGATTATGCTGGGTTATGTGATGTGTTAATTGTGTCATACTTCCCTAACTCCCTTTCCATCAAATTCTGGGTCTGCGAAAGACATCACTATTAGCAATGACGTCACCCGCAAACCTCGATCGAATGCTTGCGATTCAGGCTATGCTAGTGAGTTAATTTTTTCGTTGATTTTAAATGTAGAAAAGGTGATTTTCGGTCTGTTCCCACAAAACAAATTAGTGTTCTTGATCCTCGAGTATCCCAGAATTTGGGGAGTTTTTTATTTTGTGACTTGACGTGTGTCATGAATCGGTGGTTATTCGATTATTCAGCGGATCATGGAAATCGGTAGTCGATTTATAACTAAATATGTAGAAATTTATTTATTTCCATTATTCAGGGCCGGTTTCCAAATAGCGAATCACCCCCAGGGTTAAGGATAACTCTAGGTAAACATTGCAACTAGACACGTTTACCCTGGAGTAAAAACCAACCTGCAGGTGACTCGCTATTGAGAAACTAGAGGTGAGTTGCGATTTTACGAACTGTGACTTTGTCACTGCTACTCCGGACCCACACATTTTGTCACGGCCACTTCGATCTCTAACCGATACAGTGCGGACTAAACTCAACTCAAAGTGATGCAAATAATGAAATATTATTATAAATCACATTGCGGTGACGCAAAACAGAAACTCCCACTGCAGAGGGCAGACTGGAACATTCTTCTCGGCCGTGACTGTGAACTGAGCGAACTGCGATTATGTAATGTACCATGTATTACCAGCACGGCCAGTCAAGTCACTGTTATTTGTTACCGTAACACGACTAGAGCAGTCACATCATGTCACAGTTCCAGTAAAATCGCAGGTTGGCCAACCAACCCGGAGGTGACTCGATATTGAAAAATCGGCCTACAGGGACGAAAAAATGTAGCAACCCTGACGCAAACGTCAAAAAGTTTGACATGTCAAAGTCAAAGTAGGCCTTGTAATTTTTGACAATTAATTCGAAATGGCGACAATGGCGTTTGTTTGTTTTTTGTTTTCAGAGCCCCCTTTTTTTGATTCAGAGCCTCGTTTTTTCAGCTAAATTTAGAGTTTTTTGAGTGCAAAGTAACTCTAGTAGGACAAGGGAAGAGATAAAGTAGGATGTAATTCAAGTGCTCACTTTATTTGAAAGAGGCAGAAAAACCTTATTTACCCCTAATTTTAGTATTTGAAACTAGAAATTTATGGATGAAAATGAAGAAGACTCAAAGCCTCGTACTTAAAATCGGTTTTTCCGATCGAAAAAGCACTTGGAAAGCGGAAAATCCAAAGAAAATCCCGTAAAAATTACAATCCAGAGTCTACACTTAATAAAACTTGAGTTTTTGTCACTTACCCCATTGGAAAACTGGAAATTTTTGGCAAAAAATGAAGAAAATTCAAAGCATCGGTTTTTCCAATTGAAAACGGCTTGAAAAAGCGGAAAATTGGAGGAAAAACTGGATAAAAACATTCAAAAATTACCGACTGTCAAAACTGAAAAATGACATTGTGATTGTGCGACGTTGCCACATCTCAAAGCCTCAAATTTTAAAACGGTTCTCCCGATTGAAAACGGCCTGAAAAAGCGGAACATTTGAGAAAAAACTGGACAAAAATGTAAACTCGTCAATTGAAAATGGCCGATTGTCAAAAATGGCAAATGACATTTATTACAAGGTCTACTTGAAGTTGGCTACAAGCAATGTTGCCACATTACAAAACTTCCAAAAAAATAATTTAAAATGGGATTCTACTTGTAATTTAATAATTAAAAACCCGTTAAATAATTAATTATTAACGATTTCAAAATTAGAAATTCCTTAAATAAGTCTTCAAAAACTTGCTTTTCAATAATTTTTTTCACTTACCTTTTAACCCCTTAATAAATGGATCTAAAACTGGAAATTTCTAGCAGAAAATGGAAAAAACCCTGAAAAAGTGGAAAATTCGAGAAAAACCTGGATAAAAATGTAAACACGACACTTCAAAATGGCCTACTAATAATTTGGTAATGAGTATGACAAAGAGAGAGATAAAGTAGGATACTATTTTAGTCTAAAAATGGAAGTTTATGGTGAAAAATTGAAGCAAATTTAAAGCCCTGCACCCAAAACAGTCTTTTTCCGATTGAAGAAACCTTGGAAAAGTGGAAAATCCAATGGAAAACCAACATTCTAAAGCCTACTTGATCAAACCAAGGTTGTGGACACTAACCTCGTTGGGAAACTGGAAATTTTTGTCAAAAAATGAAGGAAACTCTAAGCCTCGTACTTTAAACAAGTTTTTTTGATTGAAAAACCGGAAAATTCAAGGAAAAGCTGGATAAAAATACTCGGCTGTCAAAAGTGGCAAATGACATTACATTACAAGGCTTACTTGATCGAAAACAACGTTATTGCCACAATACAATCTCAAATAAAATGTTTTTCCTCATTTTCCAACAAATAAAAAAAAATCATTTTTAATGTTAATTTGATTGTATTTTCGGCAAAAATAGTAAGACAAAGAGGTAGATAAGGTAGGATACATTTGCAAAAACAACAAATCCGGTTATAAATGAGTGAAACATAGAAGAAGATAAAGTAGGATGCACTTCAAGTACTCAATTTTAGAGGTGGGTTGCGATTTCACGAACTGTGACTTTGTCAGTGCTTCACCGATGCAGATGCATCGCGGACTAAACTCAAGTCAAAGTGATACGAATAATGACATATTATTGTAAATCGCATCGCGGTGACGCCAAACAGAAACTGCTACTGCAGAGGAGGGCAAACTGGAACACCTCTCTCGGCTGTGACTGCAAACTGGGTGGAATGCGATTATATAATGTAGCATTTATATGTATTACCAGCATGGCCAATCAAGGTGAAACTGTTCCAAAAAATCACTGCTATTTATCACCGTGATATGACTGGTGCAGTCACGTTTTGTCACAGCTCCAGTAAAATCGCAGGTTGGCCCACCTCTATGAGAAACCGACCCTAAAATAAATGATATTTACCCCCCATTTAGCAGAGCTTACATTTGTATTCAAATTTCAAATTTGATGCGCTTTCAGCTAGTACACAATGTCGCCAATCTAGTACAATTATTCCCTACTTTCTGGTACAATTTTTATAGTGCTGATAGCATCCCTGCTGTACTACATCACATGACACGTGCGTTTAAACATGAGTACAAAACTCGTGTGATTAGAACGACTCGGTCTACGACCTCGTTGTTCTAATCTTTCACACTCGTTATTGTATTCATGTTCATAAACGCTCTAGTAATGTGTAAATAACTACCTATTTTTGGAGGCTAAAAATTCATTTTTGGGCGTGGCACCTGAAAAAAAAACCTCCAAAGCACCTGCGGTGGGTTTCAACTACTAGGTCCTACTTGATGTGTGAACCCCTTCCACTACAGTGGCTAAATAAACCTTTACATACAGTGGCGACAATAGAGGTCCCGCCGCCATCTTGTTCCCAACCTCTTGTTACTTTTAAATATTAATATATAGGATTTAAATGGACATCTATCATAAAAAATTGAAATCGACGTATTTGATGACCATGTCCATCAAATACGTTGATTTCCATGATTTATGATGGATGTTCACCTAAATCCCATATATTCATATTTAAAAGTAACAAGGGGTTGGGAACAAGATGGCGGTGTTTTCAATGTAAATATATGGGATTTTAGAACCAATCAAAAATGAGACAGCAATTGTCGCCACTGTGGGTTATAGAGTCACTGTACCTTCCACTAAGCATAGACCACGAGGCGCCACTACTACCCTTGCGTTCGGTATTTTGCTCAAAGTGTAGAGCGAGCTGAGCGGAGCCGTAATCACGTGACCAGCGAGCGAACGGAGCAGTTGAACGCTGTATAAAAGTACCGGAAATTTTAATAAACGAACGCGAATGAGGCTGCACCGAGTACACTTTTTAAATATACGAACGGTAAAGTCAAGCTCGGAGAACTCAGACTAAAATAACGAACGCACGGTATATAAATAGATTAGGTGGGTTCGGCTTGCTCACTCCGTGCACTCCGAGTGACTCCAGCCGTTCGAGTTAAGGTTCGGGTATTGCTTTTTACCGTATTAGGGGTGACTCCATTAGCTCTGTTCACTCTACTCCAACTCCGCGCGGAATAGCCGAACCCAGCTATTGTAAAAAACACCTGATTTTTGACTAAATACATAAAAAAATATATTTAACAGGGGGCGGCAATTTACATCTTCGCCCCCCCTCGAAACAATCGTAGATTTGGCCTTGGATTTCAAATATTGTGTGTGCCAGTGTGCACTCGAATCGGTCTTGGAGCAGTAAGTCCGAAAAATGATATAAAAACGGTACATGCCCTTTTCTTTTCACACGTCAACTGACATGACATTTATATTTATGATGACATTTACTTTTGTGTTTACATAAATTTATTTTTATTATTGGAATCTGGATATTTTCTTTTTCCATAAATATTGTAGTAAAATTGTGCAAATTTAATTGTGAATTGTCATAAAATTAACACAGTATAGTATAAAGATAGTGTTTTAATTTTGTTCAACAATGGGTAAAGGATTCAATAATTACATGTGCAAGAAATTCTTCCATCCTGCCTCGAGAGATAATCTCAAAAGGGTAAGTGCGTTTCAAATTACATTGGTACTTAATCAGGAATTTGTTATTTAGTAGTACAAGCTTCAATACATAAAGAAACTGGGATATTAGGTATTTAATTATGATCCTATTTCCAAAAACATAATTAAACTCGAAAACTTTGAGGTCAATTATCTAGATTCTCTGAAAATCTGTAGTTAATAGTTTTTTAATACGAAACAAAACATTTCAAACCTTTTTTTTTATCATTCAGTAATCCCCAGTTGTCAAAATTTCAATCATTTTTGAGTAGAAAGTAGAAAGAGAATTTTTAAAAGCATCTGTAGTGACGTCACACGTATATGAGATTCGAAAATCGGTGACTTTAGGGTTGGCAAAAAAAATTAATATTCGTACCCGTACTGTCAGCAGCTGATCGTAATGACGTCACCTGCAGACCTCGATGGATTGCTTCTGATTCATGCTGTGCTGTGAGTTAATTTTTTCATTAATTTTAAATGTAGAAAAGAGAAAAGGTGATTTTAACTTTTAGGATTTTTTCTTTGACCTAGAGTGTTTTAAATGATGCATTTTACGCCAAGAGTTGTGGTCTGCGGTTAAAATGGCAGACTGGTCTGTGGCAAACACTTTCAGCTCAATAATCAGTCCTATTAGGTTAAGTGTTCTTAAGGCTTGTGTAGTTCAAATCTCCCTCACCATACCATAGTATTCATTAAAGTACTAGCAAAGAATATTATAGACTAACGTCTCTAGAAGTCTCGTCCGTATTCTGATTTTTGATACCTCGATGGACGCTCGAGTCTATTGCCCACTGTTGCCGAGTTGTCAGTGCTGTTGATTCAGCGTCCAGCCAGCGAGCCAGCATCCGTGTCTGCTTCTCTGAATGAAGTTATTAAAAAGTGAAATATTTGCTTTGCGTGCATAGGGAGACAGACGCGTGCCAAAAGGAATTAGGAAGTTAAGCATATATTTTCTAACATATTTGATAATTTACCAACGAATATCATAGATGGATGCTATTCTATCATTTTCTTTAGGTTTTTTTTTCAGTATATTTGGCAAATTTGCCACTTAGAAATTTATGTTTAATTTCGAATTATGAATTATTTATTTATTTTCCAGTAGATCGGTTTATTTAGCAACAAGTAAATTTTGGAGTCGGTCAAGTTTCCGCCTGTATTAAACAAATTTCAAAAATAAATACCTAAACCATAATAATTTTGCACACTATAACTAAAATATTGCACACAACACAACGAAAACTAGAGCATTTTTTTAAATTAGGGGCAAACTTGACCGTTCCCCCTTGTTTGTCTAAAACTTGAAAAATTCCTATTCACCTAAATTTGCACAATTTCGCATGCCTATTTTCAAATTTTGCACACTTTTCTGGGGAAAGTTAAAGTATGTTTTTTTTTAAAGATAATTCCCCAAGTCAAAAATTCAATAACTATGTTGGCAACACAAGCCTTTTCTACATAAAAAATTTGAAAGCATTGACAATTTTACATTGCATTGCCAACATAATGTCATTTTGACTTTTATCTTTAAAAAAAAAAACTTTTTCTACAAACGTGTCAAAAATGCAATTTTTAACACCCCCCGTAGCATTAAAAATGTTACTTTATCGCACTAGTGCCATAAAGTCTTTATAGCACTAGTGTTAAAAATGAAACATCAAATTTTGAGAGCGAACGTCAAAAATGTTTGTATTTTTAGTTATTTACATTGATATTAATGGTAAAATTGGAACAACTGAGGTAGCCCGATTGGCCGCCTCATCTATATTTTTCAAGGGATCGATGCAATCTTCTCTTTCTTCTGTATTTTGTTGCATTTCTAGCAAAAATAATTACTGACCACGACATACTTTCAAGAAACTGACAAGACATTTCATTATCTGTAAAACAAGGTGCTGGTTGTTTGGATTTTTTGATAAATGTCAAATTCAATAATTTTATGTAGGAAAGATGCTTCCAATTTATTATTCATTGAAAAATCCAATTTGATGACGTCATAATTTAGAAATCTTAGATTTTACTATCACTTCTCCGCGATTCTAAACCCACTTTTCCGCAAATATTACCTCATTTTTTCGCGATTCTTATCTCACTTTTTCACAAATACACACTCACTTTTTTTGAAATTTTTGACTCATTTTTTTTGTGATTTTTGACCCACTTTTTTGCAATTTTGTTTTCACTTTTTTGCGATTTTTGGCTCTCACTCCTCGGCGATTACAAACTTATTTTTCTGCTATTTCATCCTCATTTTCCTGCGATTGTTCCCTTACTTTCCGCGATTTTATCTCCACTTTTCCGCTAATTTGACCTCACTTTTTTTGTGATTTTTGAAAAATATTTTTTTTTTTATTTTTGACTCATTTTTTTGCAATTTTACCATCACTTACCGCAATTCTAAATCCACTTTTTCACGATTGTAAACCGACTTTTCTGTAAATATAATCTCATTTTTTCGCGATTCTTGTCTCACTTTTTTTTGCGATGTTATCCTCATTTTTCCGCGATTCATATTTCATTCTCCGCCATTTTATCCTTACTTTTCGTGACTTTATCCTCATTTTTCCGTGAGTCTCATCTTACTTTTCCGCGAGTTTAAATTCACTCTTTTTGAAATTTTTGACTCATATTTTTCTTGCGATTTTTGACTCTTTTTTTTGTGATTTTATCATCACTTTCCACGATTTTATCCTCATTTTTCCTCATTTCAAAATTACGAAAATAACGATAATTTTTGAAAAGTTACGAAAAATTACGTAAAATATGAAAAATTAGAGAGAGTTGCAAACATTTACGAGAATTACGGAACATTACGAGAATCACGGAATAACAAAAAATTGCGGAAATTACAAAAATTATGAGAATTGCCAAATATTACGCAAAAGAATTACGAAGTCACTCCAAAATTACGTCAATTATTTAAATATTACTAATTTTTGAAAAGTTACGAAAACTAACAAGACAAATTACGGGAATTACGAAAAATAATGAGAATTTTAAAAATTTACGGAACCTAGTAAAATGACGGAAATGACGAAAATTTGCGAGAATTATGAGAAATTATGAAAATTACGGGAATTGAGAAAAATACAAAAAACTACGAAAATTACAAAAATTACGGGTATTACGAAATATTACGGAAAAGAATTACAAAGTCATTTCAAAATTACGTGAATTACGGTAATTCCCAAAATAACGGAAATCACAATTTTTTGAAATTACGAAAATTACAATAACTTAGGGAGAATTAGAAAATTCCGAATTTTTTCTGGAAATTAGTAAAATTGAAAATTAAAAAATTGAAAATATAAATAATTACTGGAAAAAGCGCGAAAAATTGCGGGAATAACGAAAATTACCAAGTTTTCCAAAAATTGAAAAAAATAACGGGGAATTAGAAAATAACAAGAATTATCTCAGAAATGACACGAATTAAAAAATTTCGAAAATCCCCAAAAAAAAATACGGAAATTACCAATTTTCGAAAATTTCAAAAACTTAAAAAAAAATTATAAAACTAACGAAATTTTTTTAGAAATTACGGAAATTAAAAAATTACGAAAATATGTAATGGGAATTACGAAAATTTCGAGTTTTTCGAAAATTGTAAAAACTAAGGGGGTATTAGGAAAATAACGAGAATTATCTGAGAAATGACAGGAATTACAAGATTTCGAAAATTCCCAAAATAAAATACGAAAATTACGAGACTTATATAATTTCAAAATTATGAAAATAACGGAGTTTTCTGAGAAATTACAGGAATTAAAAAATTACGGAAATCTGAAAACTACAGGAATTATTCAAAAATTATGAAAAATACGAAAAAATCACGAGAATTAAAAAAATTGTGACAATTTTCAAAAAATAACAAGAATTACAAAAAGTTACAGGATTCACGAATTTTCCGAAAATTGCAAAAACTAAGGGGGAATTATGAAATTAACGAGAATTTTTTGAAAAATGACGGGAATTTAAGAATTTTCGAAAATTCCAAGAAAAAAAAAATACGGGAATTACTAATTTTTGAGAATCACAACAAACTGGGGGGGAATTATAAAGATAACGGAGTTTTTTTGAGAAATTACGGGAATTACAAAATTACGAAAATTTGAGGAACTACAGGAAATATAAAGATTGGAAGAGATAAGGAAAAATCACGAGAATTGCGAAAAAATTACGATAATTTTTGGTAAGTTACGGGATTTATGAAAAAGTTACGGGAATTACGAAAATTACGAGTTTTCCAAGAATTGCAATGACTAATGAAGAATTATAGAAATAGGGAGAATTATCTGAGAAATTACGGAAATAATGAAAATTCACAATAAAAAATTTTTGAAAATTATGAGAATTACGAATTTTTGAAAGTAACAAAAACTTAGGGGGAATTATAAAATAAGTAGGTAACTGAATATTTTGAGAAATTACAGAAATTAAAAAACTACGAAAATCTGAGAAACAACAGGAATTATTCAAAAATTACGGGAATTTTGGAAAGTTACGAAAAATTAAGAAAATTACGAAAAAGTTATGGAATTACGAAAATTAGGAGTTTTGCGAAAATTGCAAAAACGAAGGAAAAATTATAAAAATAACGAAATTTATTTGAGAAATAACGGCTTTCAACAATTTTTTTTCGCAATTTAACCTTCACTTTTCCGCAATTTCAAAGTCCAAATTCACTTTCTCGCAATTTCAACAAAATTTTCTGCGAATTTTGCCTCACTTTTCCGTTATTCTTTCCTCATTTTTCAATAAGTATAAGCTCACTTTTCCGCGATTTTCGCCTCACATTGCCGCAATTTCAACCTAATTTTTCCATAATCTTTACTTTTGTTTTTCGTATTTATAACCTCATTTTTTTTCTCGATTATAACCTTGCTTTTCCGCCATTTTTACTCAACTTTTTCGCAATTAGGGAATCGAAACCACGTGACTTTTGCCAACCAGCCGGCATTTTGAAATTTTTATGAGGTTAGAATACGGGTTTTTACATGT